AACTAACGCATAGCAATTGATTTATATATATATATAATATTTAATCCAATTAGATGGCTAGGACGTTTCAATTCCATTTTTGCTTCAAAAGTCCGGTTTGTTGAAGTTCAAAAAGTGCTTAAAAACTATTCTAGATGAGAGAAGGAGGTCGAAAACTGCAATTTCATTATGATACTAGTTTTCCATTGAAAATTATTTACAGACCATTGATACGGCACCGAAAGCACTATAATCTAAAGCATTTGAGGCAACTGCAAAATCGATATCTTTCAATTGCCTCAAATTGCTTGCATGTATAAATTTGGAGATTTAAAAACGCAAGCAAATTGTATAGCAAAAAATTGGTCTCAGGTTTATTCCTGGGTATTCAGGTTTATCCCTGAATTTCCTGAAACTCATCAGAGGAAGGTGAAACGTCATTTTAATGAAATTTACGAGGATGAAGGACTCTAACTCCTGAATGCTTGTTAACAGTGTATTCACAATACATCGTGATAGACAATACTTACCAACCATCACGTAACCGAGATCCGCAATGACATGTTAATGACATGGTCCAATGTCTACTGCAGCCTACCACTTTGCAATTTAATAATAGATAATGATACCGATTTATTGGGAAAGATTTTTTTTCGTATTTCTCGATTTATGTAAAAACATATCTATCTCGTTTTCCGAAGAAATTCAGTTTTCGATCTGCTTTTAGACACGAAATAGCAACGTCGTTTTGTATAGGAGAACTTGCTGATTTATTATTCATAAAGAATGATTTTATTTCTTCAAGCTTTCCGGAAGTGTGCATTGCATTTCTTTTGTTTTTAACCAATTTTGTGACTAAAGCTAGTGCTGAGCAATAATTTTTTTAAATTGAATACGATGAAAACTTTTTTAAGAAATTCTATACGGTGTGTATGCAACTTATCCATCGAATATTAAAGTTTAAACTTCGAGCCATGAATGCCCTAAATTTGAACTTTGGTGATGTCATTTACATTTTTAATGAACAAAAAGCCCGAGTAAAGGAATTTTAATAATTTTTGTATTAAAACAAAAATTGAGTTTTCAGTCATTTTGAATTAAAAGTTTCTAGAAAATCAACTAATTATAATAAAGTTTTATGTACCAATTTTACGTAGTGATTTATTATAAAATAAAAAATTGTTGTTTGAGCTTTTAATATTGGGTGGGAGAGGGTCTTATCCGATTAATTTGCCACGGACTTCTAACAGTATAGTCACGCCACTGGGTCTGTGCCCAGCAATGGGGCGTAGAGGCTTCAAAATTACTTTACTTGTTTAAATAATTTACTTAGATGTTACATTTAATTATATTATAAAAAAGTGAGTATTAGACTATATCAATGTTATTCACAGTAAGTAGCATTTCATTTGTCATTGTCATTTGTATACAGCTGGACTAGGTTTACTTATCGGTGTTCTAAAGTCCTCTAAAATTCGGACAAAGTCTTAAATAAAGGTATAAGTAAAATGTTTATTAGTAAAAAGTTTATCTTTTTAATTACATAAGTTTTAAAGGCAAAAAATCGTCACTAATTATTATTAAAATATAATTCCTAGATCTAATTCTATTAATGAGAAGTCTCTGCCCAGCATTTGTACGTAATTATATGGTAACAAAATCTTGATTTGACATTTATTTATCTATTATGATCGTTGTTTTAAGCTTCGAGTTTGGTGATAAAATGTTTTTCCAGTAAGTAAAAAAGTGGACGACAAATTACGTTACACCTTGTTTTTTACTCAAACGGGCCTGATACTTGTCTTAGTAATATGAAGAAAACGAGGGCGATGACCAGCCAAATTGTTTTTATTGTACAAACTAGTAGCTTACAACGATCGTATTCTAAAAATTCTAATAAAAAAATAAATGCTTAAGTGATAAGTTAGGTACTGCTACAGGTACGATTATTGTGAATGCTTTAAAGTTTAACCTATATTTATCCATTATATACCAAATGCTCATATTAAATCCGTAGATAAGTTTTCTAGAAATTTGATATTTTCAGATTTTTCTATTGATAGCAATATATACAGGATATTGATAGCAATATATACAGGTATTAAACATATATATGCTTATATACAGGATTATAGCAATATATACAGATATTATAGCAATATATACAGGAACATATACAGATATGATAGCAATATATACAGATATTGATAGCAATATATACAGGATATTGATAGCAATATATACAGGGTGTTGTAACTAAATTAGTGTTTTATGAATTTTTGTTTATCAGGTCTTGACTGCCTATAAAATTTTTAACATGAAGGCAAGATAAACATCCCATACTCATAATAAATCTATAAAAAATTGCCTGTAATTCATATATTTGCTGGAACTGGAAACATTGAAGCTAAATAATTAGTGATTTTTAGAACATTTGTTTATCTATCGGTTATTTATTATTATTTATTATGCATGATATTTAGTATGTGTTGAGAATGAAGGGTCCTGGGTGAAAAAAAAAACTACTCTTTATCATAAATACGAAGCAATACTGCAGTGATCAGTGGTAATCCTGACAAGTATGTCTTCTAAGGATAATTTAAATAAGTACCTAATCTGTGGGACCAAAACAAGGCACATGCCTCTTATTCTGGAATTCAAAAAGGAGGGTTAGCTTCTACTTTCTTTAAATGTTTATTTTGTTCATGGCGCTAATAATTTCATCACTCACATAGTTAACTCAAAACTTTTCAAAATGTTATCCTCTGAAAAAAAAAAAATATTTCAACCGCTGTGATGTAATTCTAGAATTTCCCTAAAGCTCTAAAGAATTATGAATGGAATATCGTACACTAATGATGATGCTAGGCTGTCAGGAAAAGGTTACTATCTAATATAAGTAAACAGTATACCTCTGTTAATTGATTATGGTTTAAAATATAATATTCGATAATATTGATTATATGATATAGAGTTATTTTTAACCAAAAATATTTATAATGAACTTACAAGTATGATACAAGGTATCGCATAAACGATAAGCTATAAATAGAGTTAGGGAAGGTGTATAATTTATTAATATAGTCCATAGAATACTATAATACATATAGTATTCTATGATGTAGTCCAATTTGACGTTTTTTACAACGATTTTGTATAGGTACTTGCCACATGATTTCCGATATTAACTGGTGTCTCAACGGGTTTTAGAAAATATAACTGATATATCTGTAATATGCAAAGGTTTGAATTAATTGTTTTGTTGTCAAAGGTATGAATTAATTGCCTTATCTATAAGAAGATATAAGTATAAAAACAAGACGCCTATAACAAATAAAAAGCCAAGTACAGATTTTTGGATATTATGTTAAAAATTAAAAATATTTTTATTTCGTTGACCCATTTTAAAATTAAGATCTCCAGAAAGCACAGCCAATACATACAAAATCTTTCATTTCCATACTTACAAATGACTGCGTATATACACAGTAGCTTTTTATGTTTGAATATACATATGTAAGTAAGTAGATGCATGCACTGTGTATGGCTCTGACTTTATATTCGATAAATTTTATTTGAATTTTAATTTACTTATAATTCGTTTTATTGGATACGGAAATGGCACTATGGCGCATAATGCATCAATTTAAGTCATAAAAAAATATAATAGATCTAAGAATTCGCACATCGATATTAGATTCCTCCATCTTTCAATTCTATGTTTCCCCTCGTATTTCATGTAGATGATGATGATGAATATTAAGAGTACAGATATTATTATTATTTAACCTAAAAAATAGTAGAATCCCTATTAAAATTCATCGATCGTGAAATTTCAAAAAAGTAAAAAAAAGGAATTTAGGCTTTCAAAAGTATTGCATTGGTAGGTATAGCATAAAACAAATTCATTTCGTTCGTTTCCTGATGAACAAGGACAAAAAAAATAAATAGTGTGTCTTTATCTGTTTGTTCTAATCTTCGAAATGAATTGAACGACTTTGACGGTACTTTCCATGGCAAATAGTTGGTGTTATAAGGAGTAACTGAGCATACTTTTATTTTAGTAAAGAATTAGGGTTCCGCGCATAAACATTAAATCCCATGAAATGCAATTGTAATAGATTCACGGGAAGTCGCGGGGAACAGCTAGTAATGAATAAATTAATTTCCAGAAAGGTATGAAAATTATCTTTTATATTCTACATGTTACTTTTGGGTATTATTCTAACGCCTTCATTCCAAATTTCGCTAAAAAGTTACAGCCTATATACGTCCAACTGCTGGGCACAGGCCTTCCCTCATTTCTGAGAAGTTTTTAGGGCAAGGAAGTATCCGCCGCGCTGCCCCAATGCGTGTTGGCGAACTTCACATATCTTCGATATTTTTTTCCTTATTCCTCAGACATGCAGGAGTCCTCACGATGTTTTCCTTCACCACCGAGCACGTGGTAAATCAGCACTTAAAATTGCAATTAACAATTTCATTGGTGCCGGCGGGGATCGAACCAGGGTTACTCGCGTTCTGTTATATTTACAGCGAGCGTTAACCATCTGAGCTACCACGGCTCATTTAGCTAATGGCGTAGATAATTTAATTGTAAGATAAATATTGCAAAGCTTTTATATGCTAAATACGGACAAATACTTAAAAAAGCTACATAAGTTTATTAATCACAATTAATTTATGCAAGAACTATCTCAAAAACTATACTCGGATAGCGTAACACTTAGATAAGTGTTACGCTATCTTATTTGTACAAGACTAAAAACTGTCAAGTGTAATTTCTTTTAAAATTTCAAGCGGAGAATTGGCGATCTATAAAACGCAAGCGTAACCGCCATCCGCTTCCATTATTATTATAATCAGTACAGGCGACTACAGTGCTTATAGTGTTTGTATAAAATTGTCTAAGAATTTAGAAAAAAAGAATTTAGAAAGAAGAAGAAAAATAAAAGAGTGATTAATAATATTAGCAACCAGTATTATTAAATTAAATTTAGTGATTCATTATCGTTATTAAAATGTGGGTAAAATGTTTTTTGGTAAGTTATCTTCTGTAAGTAGTATAAGTTAATTTATTCCTGATTTATCTATTTTTACTATGTTTAAAACATTCAAGTTTGGAAATTAAGGAAATGGGACTTACTTTCATATTTACCAATATTAGGTAGGTATCTATGAGGTGCAAATTGCACAAACCTTTAGAAATCAGTTTTAGAATTCGCAAGTGTTGGGAATCTACGCTATTTTAGACGGACACGGTTGTTTAAATCAATAAAGTTACATTAAAAATAAATACGTATTTAAAGTTTTATTTACAAGTAACTACTTGTTTTTCAAAGGTTAAAATTTAAATTTATTCTTATAGATTATTTAGAGGAAATTCTTTACCAGTTATCAAACAGTTCAAGCCGCTTATTAGTCTCACTTTCGTTTCAATATTTCTCACGGAGCCGGCATTTTCATTAAAGAACACGGCTGCGCGTTTAACAGGCTCTTCTATCACATAACGACCTTCGATTACTTTGTGTACCTTGTTTGAAAATTGTATATTGATATAAATGTCAGTGTCACCATTTAAATTAATTTTCTTAAATACCTATTACCTACCTATCGATATTTTCAGTTCTTTTGTTACAATTTTTAACATCCCAGTTAAGTTCATAATTGGTTCAATATTTTCAATCGTCCGTTTCAAGCCCCGGGGATTCTGATTGGTTTAATCATGTGCTTGTTTGTGTACTTTCTCGCGTTATTGAACTTTGGTTTCTTAGATATTAATAAAATCCAATCGTACAATCTTTCAATTTTTAAATAGTATGGACCGTCAACAGTTAGTTTGTTGAGAATGAGAAATTTACCTTTTCTATGTCATTAAAAGTAACAATTACCGACATAACTAAATTAATAAAATTAATTAAAATAAAATGGAATCATTAGACAATTAAAATTAAATTAAAAAAAAACTATCAAATAAATTTTATGCTCGACGAATAGGCAACTGGATATGACACCGTGAAGTAATATAGCAGTTCCCTTCAGCTTTCTCATACCCACATACAGTTTATAAACGGTATATAAGTTTGATCTAAAGATCAATCATCGCAATACGTCGCATGTCCGAGGACGTAATTATGGAAAATTCCCGACGTTTCCGGTGTTATACAGCACCTAAGGTCACGGGTCACACTGAGAACATCAGGCTTACGTTCCGATGACATAATTAATCCAGGCTATCTTCAGCTTTTGAACATTAACTTTTGGTCCAATCTACGCAGAACAAGCTTACACTATCTTGATGTCTTGCAGTTTGCAGTGACATACTTGGGTTTACATTTGATTTTATTAACTGTAGGATCCCAAGCGGATGGTAGCATCCAGCTATCATCTTTATTGGAATAAGGATATTTTTTTTTAATTTTAATAGCGTCGCGTATCATCATTGGTAGAAATCGGTGTTCTTTTGCAAGAATTTGTGGTTTATCAGATCTGATGTAATGGCCGGAACGATTTTGAATATTGGAACGGAACGGAATCCTCGTAAAAGAGTAGCTACCATGAAGCTTCATGGTAGCTACTCTTTTACGAGGATTTTTATTTACCTTTTTGTTTATTTTTGACCACATTTTCGGATAATACACTTTAAGGATGTAAAATTGACTTATCGTTCTTCGCTACAAGATGTAGTTAACCTTGTCTGTTACTCTTACAAATATTTACAGGTGTAGTACGACTGGTATCACTTGGTCACTGTGACGTAGGGGCGGGACCGGAAGCCGTTGTCTTGCAATAGGCACTGAAATTCGGTGACAATGTGTTTTTTGTCTCCCTTGTGCTCTCTGAAACAACGACTTTAAACGGTAGCTAACTGTGATGAGTGGTGGTTGAGATTCTCTATTAAAATATCTGTTAGTGTGCACCTTTTTACTGTACACAGAGTGACTAATCGATTATAAACTTCGAACGACTAAAACATTTAGGAAAGCTAAACAATTATTTGCCTCTAACTCCATTGTAAATTGTATTTCAGAGTTTATGGAGTTAAGGTGGTCTAAAAATGTAAACGTAATGTATTTTAATATCACCAACTAATATTTGCGGTAGGTAGGTAGGCGAGTGAGTGCTGATTGTATAAGTAAGCGTTTGCACGTATGTATTTTAGAGTTTATGGAGTTAAGGTGGTCTAAAAATGTAAACGTAATGTATTATAATATCAGTAACTAATATTTGCGGTAGGTAGGTAGGCGAGTGAGTGCTGATTGTATAAGTAAGCGTTTGCACGTATGTATTTTAGAGTTTATGGAGTTAAGGTGGTCTAAAAATGTAAACGTAATGTATTATAATATCAGCAACTAATATTTGCGGTAGGTAGGTAGGCGAGTGAGTGCTGATTGTATAAGTAAGCGTTTGCACGTATGTATTTTAGAGTTTATGGAGTTAAGGTGGTCTAAAAATGTAAACGTAATGTATTATAATATCAGTAACTAATATTTGCGGTAGGTAGGTAGACGAGTGAGTGCTGATTGTATAAGTAAGCGTTTGCACGTATGTAGGAAATGATAACTGCTACTTTTCAGGTTAATGTTAATAATTATTTCAAACAAACATTTGAACGCAAACAACGTCGATTATTTTGACATTTAGATTTTATATACCCTTTGTTAAATTACGGATTTATAGCATGCATAGTTTGTATCGGGATAATACGGTATACATAATGGCACGTATTTCTTCTTTTTATATCAGTTTTTTAAATCGCATGAGATATTGTTCCTCTGGTGTAAGGTTTTTTTATACACCTTTCGCTAGTCATTGGGGAGACCTGCATAATTTTATAAAACTTATAATTTATAAAATTCCAAACTTATAAAAATAAATTAGTCATTATCTCATTATATAAAATGCTTAATATTGATAAAATATATTTGTGTGCACATGCTTCCCTTCATTTATGAGCGAATTTTGAGAGGGAAAAAGAATCCGCTGCGCTGTCCTAAACAAATTGAAATATTTACCTACAACCTGCTTCTTAAACAAGGTAGATGACAATGTTTTCCTTCACCGGGATCAGTGGGGCGTTGTCCGCGTGGGAAATCAAAACAAAATTAGCGAATCTACAATTCCATTGGTGCTGGCGGTTATCGAACACGGTTTGTTTGAGATATAATTTGACGAGTGCTTAGTAGACCTTGAGCTACCATGAAAATAACATTATTTATAGCAGTATGTAGAGTTCACCTGATCCATTTATCAGTGAATGCTGTGGCTTATAAAATGTGATAAAAATATGCTGTTTATTATGATACGATAAACAATTAACCACTTTTGCACAAAGGGATCGAATAATGGTACGAGTATATAATGTTGCTAACAAACAAAATGTAAGTCAGTGTTGACCTATATTTTGCAGCCTTGATTTATTGAATACCTGATATTGATATAATATAATATAATATAATTATACCTTGGGATATCGATTGCGGCGTAACAAAAGACGGCCGCAAAGGTATCGTTGGTCATTAAAGCTCTGTTACCGCTACTTTCTTGAGCAGTCCTAGAAAGTGAAACATATCTGCGCTGTTAACCATAACCGCAAGATAGGTATAGATAAATCTAAATTTCAATTATTTTTCTTAAACTATAAACTTCCATAATATTCAAAACTAAGAAAGAGATCTCTACCAGCTGTAGACCGTTGAGACTACCTATATTTTTGAATTTAGACGATTCTGATCTTAAATAGAATAGCTTACGAAAGCGTGCTTAAATTTTATATCAGGCCAAAAATAATATGTTAAATATTACAATGGAATCCTAATCCGAATTATAATTTGTATTACAATTTCATTTCGAAGAATTTTTAATAAAATACAATGTAATTCATTTTATGTTTGATAATTATTTAAGAAATATTTCACTAAAGATTTTGTTAAACTCCTGTATTATATACGTGTACGTTTTACCACAGAATAAATAATAGTTTTTACATACATAATTTGCGCATTAACGAAAATCCAAACACATTACACATTGTATTATTTGTAGGACACAGAATAATATTTGAGAATCGGAATCACCGGCTCGCTATGTCGAAGTCTAATGCCTTCTGGACTGACGATTATCGAGTATCAAAGTATGAATTAAATACAATTTTCGATTTGTGAATAAGGTTTTGAATTAAGCAAATAGACTTGCTGCTATTACAATAACTATGCATACTATGCAATATAATTAGGGTCTAAGGCCCTGTCCGCATTTTTGATGTAGGTACATAATCTTGAAAACTATTTTTATACTATTTAACTATTTAAGTTATTTTATACACTAATATTCTTAGGGTAGAGCTGCAGTCATCTTTGAACTAATTTCGAAGTTCTAACAATTATCATGTCGTTATTAACATGTCATTAACTAATTATTAATATGCGAGGATTGGGGTAGTGAGAAAATTTCAAAGATGAAAGTAGCCAACAAAGGAAACATTTCAGTGTCATGGTCATGCTTTTGTAAACTGACATTATCCAAAAATAGTACTGTCATCAGATAATGTTATGATTTGTTTGAAACATAAAAGAAATGATTAAGGTTTCCAATTTAAAAATGTAAAGTCGGTAATAAAATCGGGAAAATGTCCTTTTATTCTCAGAAATTATGAAAAAATCAGTGCATTTCGGTAGAGGAGACTCCAAGCCGGTAGAACTGATGATGTACTAAAAAATTGGAAGGTTCGATATCAATGGAAACATGATAAAAATAACTGCATATTTTTGAATTTGAGTGGTACTACAGCCCTTTTAGCGGCGTCAAGACGATTGTCGGTGTATATCAAAGTGGACATATATGCACTTAAAGTTACAGCCTGAATACGTCCCACTGCTGAGCACAGGCCTCCCCTCATTTTTTATAGGCTTTCAGAGCAAGGAAATGTCCAGTGCTGCCCCAATACGTGTTGGCGAACTTCATATGTCTTCGAAATATCTTTTATTTATTTCAGACATGCAGGTTCTGTAACGATGTTTTCCTTCACTATCTCAATACAGAA